CCCATCATTTGTACAGGAAAACTCATTTAAACAAAGAGTAATAGTAATATTAGCCATTTCCTTATAAGAAAATATTTTAGATTCATTGACCAAGCTAGCCAGTGTTATTTTCGGTTGAAATTTATAAAATCTTTCTATTAAAACAATTTTTCAGGGAAATAGGTTTCTCAAGTCTCGTAGTTGTTATTGCTCTCTTTTCCGTATCAAAGAGGATTTCCTTCCTAACTTTTTGTTTGAAGTGGTGTGGAATGTCAACATCTTGATTAGATCATTATTTTCTCTGAGTTACATGTGCTATCCATTTTAGCAGTTATTACTCTTTCCAGTACTGGTTGCAGTTTCCTTTCTAACCTTTTGTTAGAAGTAGTGTGCAATGTCAACATCTTCATTACATCATTATTTACTCTTTGAGTTACATCTATCCATTTCAGTTGTTGCTGCTGTTGAAAGTCCTCAAGTGGTTTCTATTATTTTGTACCGTCCTTTGTTTGAGATTCAGTAGCACCAGTCCACAAAGCTTGAAGATGGATGGTCTTCACCAAGATCCATAAGCTTAACACACCGTAATAAGGAATTGAACTAAAGAGGGACCTTGACAAAAGCTTTAAGATTGGTCCACAACGGGGCTAAGAGCAAATAAGAATACAAGTAAAAGAGGATATATATATATATATATATATATATATATATATATATACACACACAGCTAACTGGATGTCTAGCAACTGATGAGCTATGATACAGCAAAATAGTCTGTGCATAACAATACATATGATCCTGAAAAATTATTTCAGTTGAGCTCTCTGGGGAAGAAGAGTGAGTTAGTAAACAGTGACTATTACTACTACTAATGCAATACTCTTCGAAAAAACAAATCGAGTTCTCTCAGTCACTCACGTGTTTATCTAAAAATAAATATGCTTAAATTCACCTTCATCTCTGGCGTTCACAAACGGCTTAGGGATAGATTCTCTGAGTGACACCAATTCAGCCAGGTTTCAATCCAAGCTGTAAGCAACCAGACATCTAGCCACACTGATGAGCTGTGATACAGCAAAACAGTCTGTAGATGACTATATATATATTAGTATAATAAAAGGTAGATCTTGATATTGTAACAGTTTTCTTAGATTCTTAAATCATCTTAGCATCAATGAATCTTCAAGAATCAGAGTAGAATGTTGATCCTCCTCAATGTCAGAAGGCACCAGCTAATGTATTTCAGGGTTACTCAATGGTTTTTGTAGTCCTCTTTTGCTCTCTCTCTCTCTTTATTTTTATATATTATATATACATTATATATATATACACACACACACACTTTAAAAATCAGGAGGTCAGTTGATTCTACTACCTTGGTTTCAAATTTACCGTATCCTCGGCGATTTTTATCAAATGACGTCTTAATGCTTTATTTTTTTTTTTAAATTAATGAATGCTATATTATTATTTTAAAAAAATAAAGAAATGCACAATGTTGGTTGCAATAGGAGAGGAGTAGGAAGATGTGAAGCAGGAAGAAGAAGGGGGAAGAGAAGAAAAGCAAGGGTATTGTAAAATTATCGGTGGGTGGTGGGTAAAATGGTGCGAAATGTACATTTTTTTTTTTTTTTTTTTTTATCCAGCCTCATATATCCTTAATATTATATTAACCCGCCCCCACACACACTGATAATTTTACAATGCCCTTGCTTTTCTTCAACTGACCTCCTGATTTTTAAAGTTAAAAGCTCTACATGTTATTTTTACATTCAATTTATTTTTTTCATATGTGTATTGAGCACTTTTTAATGCTACTGTTTCCTGGTCTGATTCAACTGACCATTAATTTTATATATATATATATATATATATATATATATATATATATATATATAGTACTGCAAAAGGTGTATAATTCCAGAAGAGTCCAAATTGAGGGAAGTTAATATTTATGACACTAGCTGAAAGCCATTTTTAACTTTATCTGAGAAACTGGTTGTATACACATAACCTAGATAATTCTAAATGGCTTTGGCTATTTAAGAACATGACACAAGTTTTCAGGTTAATATGGTTTTATAGCAATTTGTATTTTGGGGTGAAACTACCTCTAGTGCAGCCTATTCTGTTCAACTAAAATTCCTGATAAAACCATTCTTTTAAATAGTAGAATTCTAAGATATTTATAATTTGGCTTAGATCACATTTCTTCATACTAATTTTATATAATATTACATTTTGTTAAAAAAATAAAATATTGTTTAGTTCAAACTGAAAATTCTTTTTACATACCCTGTTAAAGAGGTAACATAGAACATTGCAATATGCAAAAAATGATATGGCTGTTGTTAGTATGTTTTACAGACCTATAACATTAACATTTTCATTTTGTATGCTTGACTTGACCAAAGTGATTTTAGTCAATAAAATATTATGTCTTGTTAAACTGTCATTACTAATGTTATGGTACACCAGCTGTTAAAAATTGACTATACAGTTTATGTCTTTTTTTTAATTATTATTGTCTTAATCTGTTTGATAAATAAGTAAAACCAGTTCACCAAGTCCAAGTTTAAGTAGAAAATATAGAATCTTCATGTAGTTCCGGTATTGAGGCAAATAAGATAATCCGTTTCAATTATTTGCATCTTTGTAGTACGGATTCAAGTTTTTGTATCACAAATAAACTAAACCAGTTTTGGAGAGATTTTTTTCTAGTTTAAAATAGCGAGACGTACATTACAATTTAGAAAATGGTGAGCTGCAACTCTAAATGTCATGAAACAAAATTATATCCAAGGACAATTTTCTAGTCTAGTGACAATCTAAAATTTTGAAGAAAATCTAGACTAAAAGAACACATAATTAAAATCATAAACAGACAGTTGAAATTTTGAAAACACATGATAAGGAAAGAAGAATTGGAGAATTTAACAGACTGAAGGGGCAGAGGGAAACAATTAATAATCTACCTAATTAATTTATTTGAATGAATGGCAGGATGGGAACAATAATCAATTGTGTAACCTTTATTATTGATTATTGCCTTTAATCATTTTTGGTAGTTCTTACAAGATCACTACACACACAAGTAGGTATTTTGCTCCATTCTTCCTTTGCAATAGCTTCCAGTTTCTCTAAATTCAAAAGACTTCTTACTTTTTCTTCAAATATGCCCATAAATTTTCAATGCAGGGTACACCAATACCTTAATTTTGCTGTCATCTAAGTATATTGCAACAAACTGTACCATGTCATGTGTTTCAGGTCATTGTCATGTTGGGATATCCATGACTTCCCAAATACAGCTTCCATGCACTTTATTTTATATTATTGTCAAGAATAGCCAAATATTTCTCTTTATCCATGATACCCTGTACACTCACTAGTTTTCCTGTTCTAGAAGCAGCAAAACATCTTCAGAACAAAATGCTCCCACCATGTTACTTAATTCAAGGGAGGGTATTTTTTTAGTTTGTGAGCTTCATTCACTTTCCTCTATGCATAATGGGAGTCCGTGTGACCAAATAATTCTAGTTTGGTTCCAGCTGACCATAAAACAGAGTTCTAATACTTACTCACATATCCTAGATGTCTGATATAAGCTAATCTGTATTTTAGGTTTAGCTTTAAGCAAGGGAGTTTTTCTTGGGTGAAAAGCTCAAAATCCTGCTCAAGGAAAGTATCTAATGACTGACTTCATCAATACATTCAACCCTGACATCTTTACATCATTGACAATGACTTTTGTTGTTAAATGAGGATTCTTTGAAATATCTAACATTTTTCCTTTCCATTCTCTCAGAAATTAACCATCCAGTCCTTTTAGAATGTTATAGAATCAATACTATTTCATTTTTAAAGGGTGTTTGTATTAAATGTAAAATTAAGAAAAAAAACATTACAACTGCCACAGAAAATATATTGTTTTATAATTTCCATGGAGGGGGAGCAAACAATTTTGGACTGCACCAATTTGTAGAAAAATCTATAATTATGAATAGGTCAAAACTTCTAAAAATTTCACGAATTATTCAAAAATAAATACAGAATCAACTCTAGAGTAAATTCAGTAAATACGCGCAAATATTTGCATTTGCTTAGAAAATGTGCAAAAAGTTCAGTTGGGGCTAATAAATCTGTTCACAACTCTTTCTCTCTCTATATTATATATATATATATATATATATATATATATATATATATAGAGAGGGGCTGAACATATAAATAAAATCTTGGTTATAATTATATTTTTAGAGGGATGTTGGAGATGTAGGGACACTAAACTTTAAATTGTAATTTTTGGCATGTGTCTAGTACAGCTTAACAAATTTCATTCAGCTTCCCAATGCTTTTATTTTAATTGCTGTTGATTTCAAATATACCACATCATAATAAAAGTATATTAAGGAAAAATATGGTATGGATCTGAACAACTGGTACCACAATGTGGATGATTTAGAAACAGCAGCAATAAAAACAAAATGATTGAGAAATTGACTGATTCATTTTCTACAGCTTAACAATTTGCAGGTTATTAAAGCCAGAAAATATTTTCAGATTGTAGGAATATTTTACAAAAAAGCCTGATTTAGGCTTAAAAGTTTTACTAAATAACCCATAGCTGGGAGGAGAAGATGTGGATTCATATTTTTTTTTAATAAAGTTGTCTAAGCTGTACATCTAGTAACATTGTATGCCATAAATTTAAAGTTTAAATTTCCCTACATCTTCAGCATTCCACTCAATTCATAATTATAACTGATGTTTTTTTTTTATATATACTTTCAGCAAGCACCTCTGCATGCATTTATGTAATTCTATCAATAAGAATGTTATTTTAGACGGATGAAGTCCATTTGAACAATGAAATGTATTACAGAGAACTCTTTTCCCTGTTATCATTCAGTTACCCTAAAAAAAAAAAAAAAAAATTAAATAAATAAATAAATAAAAAAAATTTTTTTTTTTTTTTAAATTTAAAAAAAAAAAAAAAAAAAAAAGTATATTGTACAAACCTTTTTCTTCATTAAGGCAATTATAGATGCTTAGATCTCCTTTCAATTCAGCAACCTTCAGAGGGGTCATATTGAATTTATCAAGATTATTTATCTCAGCCCCAGCTTCCAGCAGCATAACCACCATGTCATAGAGGCCCTCTTTTACGGCTATATGCAATGGAGTCTGCATAAAAACAAAACAAAGATAATAATTATAAAATAATACCTTATTTCATAAATATTATATAATCACTCGAGTGTTGTTCCTATCACCAGTTTTACATTGAAAATATAAAGGGTGTTCCAATAAATTGGACCGATTTTAAATGTGAATTAACTTTAAGCATCTAATGATTTTTTTTCCTTTCAGACTTAACAACTTAAGTTTTTGGCAATTTCAAACATGGAAATATTAACAATCAAACAAAGTGTTAAAGTTATCGAAGCTTATTACAAAAATGGACACTCAAACATAAGAGCACTTCAAATTTTTTTGGTCATATAATCCACCAACCAAGAGTGGAATTGGAAATGATGTAACTGCAGCAATGTTTCCAGCTGAATGGTGTAAAGGAGCATTCAATGGTGTTTTCACATCTGCCACTGACCCAGTTTGTTTGAATTTACAAACAATTTATCCAACTGCACTCTTGAAACTATTTTTAAAAAGAATTTTGAATTGATTTTGTATGTGTACGAAAGTGCTGATTTTTGTAGATATAGTTGATCATACACAACATTATCAGAAAATAAGAGTGGTAGCTATAGTAAATTTAAAGCAAAAAAGTATCTAAAATTCAATAAAACATTAGAGATTACCAAGAATATTTTCTTAAATTTTTAAGATTACTGAGTACTTAAAAAGTATATATAAAAAGTGTTAACATTATATTCAATTATTTTTTTTTACAGCTGAAGCCCCCATAGAACAACATTAGATAAACTTCAAGCTGTCAAGCACATAAACAGCTTAAATAAAAAGCTACTGCTGTATTAAAAAAAAAAATACATTTCTACGATATTTTAAAAAGTAAATATTTATTTCAAATCAGATTAATTATTCTTTAAATCAGCTAATACTTCTCATATAAAGTTTCAGGAAAGCATGTTTTATTTTTGGAAGATATTTTAATAAAAAGAATTGCATTGAAATGACAGAAGGCTAAAAATGGTGTTAAATTAAAATATTTCAGAAATTTCAAAATGAAAATTCCTTCCAGTTAATCTAAATTACTTTTTAAATACAGCAAAGTATTTTGCTTATTGGAAATATTAAATTTAATCTATTAGCTTGAAATTAAAGCTAAAATAAAAGCTCATGAAAATGTTTTATTTTTAAAAATTCATTTTAGACCTTAGGTATCACAAATCTGTGGAGGTACCTAGATCACAATAGACACTGGCTTTTAAAAGAGAGGCAAAGTATAAATACTATTTTTGTGCCATGGCCAAATATCTGAACAGACTATTTTTTCCACTTTCATTATTGATCAGCTATCACTTAACACATTGGGTTATCAGTGCTTCATAATTCCATTCCAACATCCCACTCCACAATACTCCATTTGATTCTATTTTTTAACAAGCTCGTCATGTTATCACAGATAAGATTTATGAAACAATTGTTACTTTCATTCACTCTTGTGATTACATTTATGGAATGACAACAAATGAAATGCAATGCTACATTTTATTGCTGGCTGAATTTAAACCTGACGTACATAAGCAAAGTTTACGCTTCCCTCATAGGCTGTCCATTTAGTTTAGTATTCCTTCATGACTAATTTAGATTGTAGTTATATAGTGACACAGCAAGTTTTAGCAGTAGAGAAAAGAAAATGCAAAGCAATCAGGTAATATTTTAGTACTGACTACAAAGTATCCATAAGTTTAGTCTTCTCTCATTATTGCCTACCTTACCCTACATTTCAATTTAATCAATTTCTGCACCAACAAACCAAATACTTCTTTTTATGTAGGAAAACTATTTTAACAAGTTTTAGCCCTCAAAAGACTTGTGTTAATAATCAGGAATTAAAATAAGTATTATTGAATTATTGACAATAAGATCAGAATATATATATATATATATATATATTATATATATATATATATGCCATTGCATCCCATCAGCATGTCTCCAAATCTTCTGAATAAATAAACGGCAAATTCTGTCTATCCGTGTGTCTGAAACCCCTCTAACTCTGGCCACACTTGTTCTACATTGAAATATACCTTTTTGGAATAAAGATCATCTCAGGATTGAAAATTTGCCCTTCAACTGGTGCTTGAACATCCAGTACTGGGATTTGTGTCTGAATGAGGAGGGAACAGTTAAAAATTCAAATTTTAAAATAACTGAAAAAAATTAGTAATTTTATGTTTTTAATTTACATTGAGTTTAAAGTAACACAAAAACTTTGTGAATTTAAAAAATTTTTGTTTTAAATTCAGTTTAAAATATCCCCAAAACTTTGTGAATTGAGGAAACCAGAGTTAAAGTGAGAGATTTGATGACATCAGGTTTTGAAGTCCTGCTGAGTTTGTGATTTGAAGAACACAATTTTTTGGCTGAATTGGAAATTCACCCCAAATCAAAGTTTTGGCACAAATTGGTCTTTCAGATGAAATTGGACTTATAGCCTGAATCAGAGTTAAAGTGAGGTTTTGAATTTTCATGGAGTGAATTGAAGAATTCAAAATTATTTCTTCTATATATCATTGCTGCTTTGTATGGCCTTTAAGCTAGTTCAGTACATGTAACAGATTTTCTTTCTCCAATACAGCTCAGTATTAATGTTTTTTCATTTCACATTTTCAGCCACATTTATTCATACTCTTGACTGATCTTTTCTCTCTTTTATACAACAAGGCATTTTAGTTCAGCTGTTCTACATTCTCTCCAATGACATGTATACTTGTCATTTCTGTAAAGTGATACAGCCTCAAAATAATGCGATCTACACTGACATATATTTTCTAAGAGAATGCTGGACTGTGAAAGCTTCCCTTGACTGAGGTATTTCAAGCATGTAAGACCAGATGGTGGTTTCCCTATAATGGGAAATATAGGTTCAAACCCTGCCAGAAGGTACATTCTCTTTATTAAAATACTGAAATGAATGGGTCAGTAGATGTAAATTCCCACTTTTTGGAAAACAAACAATAGGGATATCTTCTCAAACACTTGTATCAAATATGTTTAATGTCTAATGTCATGATCGGTAAAGATTCAAGTGCCCTAGTTTTATACTGTAATGGAATAAAAATGAAAAATGGTTGAAATTGTAACAGGAAAGAGCTATAGAAAAAGGATTTATTCTATTAAGGGGATTATTATATCTGTGATATAATAACACTGATATTTCACAGATGGAAAGAAATGGCTGAAAGGAAAAGGAATGACAAACATGCTTTTTTCTCAGAGAGACTTTTATATTGCTAGAGCAAACACAAAAACTATATATACATATATACACATGTCCCACACAGAATCACACACACACATTATATATATATATATATATATATATATATATATATATATATATATATATATATATATACACACACAGTAAAGCAGAGCATAAAGAGAAAGAAAAAGGAAGGGCCTTTCATATAATATGGAGATACTCCTGTGTCTGGAGAAGTCATTTTTAGGACTCTAGATTTGAACAAACTGGCTTCATCTATTTCCCAGGCAAGGACATATTCCATGAATAGGGAAACAGCTAGTCTTGGGTTTTCCCATATTGAGGACTGCAAGCTGGAATTTCTTTCTATATCTAGGAAAGACATATTCCCAAACGGCACCTTGGACTTGTAAGCTGTTGGGGAGGCAGTTTTAGCGACAGCCTGGGATCTTTGACTCAGGCTAAAAGAAAGCAACATCATGTGGTGGCTGCTGTAAATGAACTGAATTTTACTGTTGCTATGGTCATTGTATGAAGTGATAACATTAAATGGCTGTCACATGACTTATATCTACCAAAAGTGGGAGATAATTTTGTAGGAATACAAAAGTGCTTATCATCAGTACCAAGACTGGATCTGGTCATATGGTTGCTGGAAAATATTCCAAAAAAGTTTACTTTATCCATAATTGTCGAACAGTTTTATAAATAAATCAAAATATTAGCAAAATCAACTTAAATTTTTCTTTGTCAATTAAATATAAGAGAGCCTTAGTGTCACCCTTAATGCTTTAAAGTTGGGAAAGTTATCTTGAATCAATTAAGGCCATAAACTGATTTTTTTCTTCCTCAATTAGAATTAAAGCTTCAATCTCTTAAATGAAATTGCTCAAGCCAAAAAACTACTTAGATAAAAAAGCTATTAGAAGAGAATGTCATTCAAACCAGGTAATAAAACCAAAATACTTACATTATTTTGACATTTGGGACCTCCTGGCAAATTGATATTTGCTGAAATGAAAAATTCATCTTTTCTGAATAAAAATAAACTAAAAACCAAATCAAAATACATCTTAAAAATAAAGCTGGACAATTATTTTAAAAATACAAAGTATTTTTTGAAAATACTCAAAAATTTATTTTCCTTTTTTCATATATTATTCATCATAAGTCTTTTTTTATATAAATTTTAGTAAATAAAACAAAACTACATCCTGTGATATTCCTAAATATAATACTAATAAATTCAAAAAATATCCAAAATTTACCTGTTTCATTGTTAAAGTCACAAATATTTATTCATAAAGATAAAAAGATGATTAGTGTTTAGAGATAAAGCAAAAAAAAACGATTCTAAGCGTTCAGAGATAAAGCAATATAAGAATTCTTTATTCTATATAATTTACATTTAATAACAGTTTCTACCATTTGATAATGGTGCAGAGACATAAGAAAGATATTAGTGGGTCAGAGGCATATTATTGAATTGTTATGTGAATTTAGATAGTCTGACAAAATGGATAATCTGTCATGGTTCTAAAATCAAGAAAAAAGTCAGTTGTATACCTGTAAATCACTTTCCCAAATTTGCATACATTTTTCTATGTATTTGTCATTGCTACAATTATTGAAATAACCATAATCACCTTTGAAATTTTTCCCTCCTTAATGGTCTCAGAATCTTCTGTGTAGATAAGGTCCCTTTAGCAATTCCGTTGGAAAAGCTCCTACCAGCTTATGGAGAGAGTAACTCTATGAAAATTAGAATTGACCCAACTTCAACTGTATCTTCTAATTTCTGTTTCATAAACATTTTAGTTTACAAGGTAAGGAAATTGAATAGGGATTATCCTGCACTAGGGATAGTTTCACCCCACACCACAAATTGCTACAAAACCAAAACATTAACCTAACTCAAAGCATGTTCTTGAATAGTATTTTTTAAAAATAAAGCTCAAGATAAACCTTTCCAAGACAGAAATTATCATCTGTAATTGGAATGAAAGCAGTGATGGCACACACAATGTGGAATTAATAAATACTAAATATTTCAAATATCTTGGTCAATGGATCAGTTATAACAAATCTAGGTGATAAGTGCTGTACTAGAGACAGCTTTATCCAACACTGCAAAACAAAATCAAAACATTAACCTAAGAACTTTAGTCATGTTCTTAAACCTCATGAGATTGAGAATTTCATATTGATAACATGCATCTGTTCAAAAATATCTAAACTGTCAGCTGTATACAACAGTTTTCTCAGATCAGTTAATGAAAATGATTTTAAGCAAATGAATCCTGAGGTCTTAGTGAAGACCATAGTTGTTTAAACCTTGTGGACTGACACTACAGAACCACAAACAAAGAACTGTACCAAATCATAGAAACCACATCACTTGAGAACTTTCAACAGCAGCAACTATTAAAATGAATAACACATGTAACTTGAAGAGAAAATAATGACAATCAAGATGTCGACATTCCACACTACTTCAAATAAAAGGTTAGGAAGGAAGCCTCCATTGATACAGGAAAGAGATTACAGTGGACTTCAGAAAACTATTTTCTTGAAAACTTGTTTTAATAGAAAGATTTTATAAACTTCAGCTGACTTTAGTGCTGGCTGCTTGGTCAGAGAATACTGAATGTTTCCTTATTAGGAAATGGCTAATATTACTATTGTATAGACTAATCTGTCTGCTGTACAATTTGATGAGTGATAGTAAGATGCATTATTCTGTTCTTAATCGAAAATGTCTTAATCCCTACTATACCACATCTTCTGCATATTATGAAGTCTAACATCTATAACATAAATGCATTACTTGTGCTACTCTATGGTGTTGTTCATCATGACGGTCGTCTTCGAGTATAGAATCCAGAGGTTAGCAGTGAATATTTCGATAAAAGTAGCAGAGCATAGTTTGTCCTTCTGGTTCTCTTCGCCTGACAAGCTGGACTGGACATTCGGGTAGAGTGAACAAAAATGGCCGCCTTTATACATGACGGATTGAATGTTCTACGTCTTCTGATTGGCTAACCTTCTATTGGTGAACTATAAAGTCATTTGGATTGGCTCACTAGTTACATATTATACACAAAAAACTGCAACATATGGTTTAGAATATATCAACTGGTCCGCTACATCATTAAAGAAAATCAAAACATTTTAAAACCATTTGATTATGTCTGGTTATTTTGTTTTATGGCATATCAACCTCAGTAGGTTATTTAATAGACAAGATTTTTAGAATCGATTCTTATGAATAGAATATAGATTCTTTGTAAGAAATTAGTTTATAGATCAGATTTCATTGACATTTTTTTTTTTTTTTTAAAGAGGGTTAGTAGATAGTCTGGTTTTATTGGTGTATTCTTTTCTGATATACAGTTTATAGAGAAGTTGATTTTATTACCATTCTTATTTCATTTTTTGATATAGGCCCACAGTTTTAAAACATATGCTATCCATTTTTGATTTTTTTCGGAGAGCTCATACATGTTTATATTATAATACTAGCAGTAGAGCCCGGCGTTGCCTGGGGATGTAACAGTAAGAGATAGATCAAGTATCGACCATCATAAAGACTGAAAAATAAAATTGACAAAGATTATTGTTTAAGGTTGACGGACACGCATGTCTTAATTAGTTTTTTTTTTTTACGAATTGGTCAAACCCAAATTCAAACAAAAAATTGTTGTTTACAATCGTTATGAGTCTATCGATTGGTGAATAGAATTTTATTATAAACAATTGTCTTGTAAATGGAATTTTTAAAGCATTCTGAATGTAAATAAAGAAAAAAAAGTGTGCAAGACAACAAAAATACTACCTGCCGAAAAAAAAAAAGTGGATGTTTGTTTTATCGGCTGAAAATGTAAAAATCCGATCCCATATATAAAGGAACACACACAACACAACAACCTGGGTTTTTAACCTAAGTCACTCCCACGGAATCGCTAAAACATAGAGCATAGTCTGATGAAAAAGGCGCTAAAGTTTATGAAAACAAAATTTTATCGTCAAAATGCTTATGTTTTCATGAAGAGGATAGACTAAATTTTTTTTTTAATTATGTTTTTAAAATTTTTCCATCTTTTTAGAATATTCTAAATTTTGATTTAAAAATCTTGTTTCTCTTTGTGCAAACAAGGGATAGTAAATATCATAGATAATTTTTAGCGCGTTTTTTTGTATTTACACACATTAATTTGGAAAATCTTGCAAAAAATAAAAATAATTGTCAGATGTTAATGAAACTTTCAGAAACTATTCACAGATGATCGAAATTATTATATGTTTTTTTTATTAAAGCCATGGCAGACATTTTTTTTTATATTTATTAACACCCCCATAACTAATTTTATGAAAAACTCTAGAAATTCGAGACCATCGGTTTTAGTGATTACAGTAGTTAAAAGCACAAGGCTTTGAAGAATGCAAATCATGTTTTTTTTTGTTTTTTTGGCCAACATACCTGAAAATCAGCTGTGAATTATAACATACAAAACTCAATAAAACAAATATATTATTTAGTTTCAAATGCTTTTATTTGTTTTAATTTGTTTTTATGAATATGGACAATATTTTCTGAAAGAAAAAAATTTTTTCAATGAAAATTGAATTTTTAATACAATTATTTCTTATTTCTTTTATTTTAAAAAGATTTTTTAAAAATGTTTAAATTTAATTTTAAAAATAATTTTACATTAGTTAAAATGCAACATCAACCTTTCAAAATGTCCGTGTGAGATTGTCATTGTCTAGCGCTTTGAAAATTGTATAATTTGGACCAATCAGATTAGCCATGGTAATTAAGAAATGTAATTTTTGTGTTTACAGTCGGACAGTAATTATCAAGTATGAAAGACCAACCAGAATACAATTTAGTTGCATTATTTGAGTTCAGCATTGTTCTCCGCTGTTAAGCCCTTTACTTTTGTGAAACACGTATGGAGAAGTTAATTTTGAGTTTTCAATTTCAACTGAGAAGGGTACCTACAAGTAACAGTATCATCTTATGAAATTTAACTACTGCTAAACTTTAATTTATATGATCTTATTTTTATATTAATCTCAGTTATGACATTTTTCCATAAATGAAATATCAAAATTAATAATAAAATGAATGGAAATACAAATAACACAGTAAAATGTAATAAATGTACATAAAATTATAGTATTTTATGTACACTTCTGATAAAATTTCATAAGAAAGGTACCTAAATTAATTAGATACCTTTTTCTTATGAAATTTAATCTCACTATTAACAGTCTTATTTTTAATTTCTTTATATTTTCCATAAAAGCATCGTAAACGTAAAAATGAAAGCTAAGTACAAAAAAAAATAAAAAATTAGAGCACTGAAATTTTTCCTTAAATTTGTTCACTTAAATAATTTCACTTCCTTCCATCCGTAGAAAGAATTCTCCTCCCGTAAGTTATCTAATGTCATGAATGTGCCTTTCGTCAATCGTCAAGCGACACGAAAGGTTATGACCTGCTTTGTTTTATTTTCAAATTACATTTTTTTTAAGCGCAGAAGCTAAGTTAAGCTTGGTTCAAAATATTTTAAATAAACAGTATAATTTCTGTTTTTATTAAAATCAGTTTTGAAAAATGATAATTGATTTTAAAAGAATATCAAAGTCAGATTTTAATCTTTTTTATCAAATCGAAAAAAATGATTGAAAATGATTATCTGTCCTTTTTTTGACCAAAAAAAAAAAAAAAAATATTTTAACGAAAATTTCAGACGTGCTAGTAACGATTAAAAAATGTAAAAAATACCCCAAAATACTTTGATCTTTCCTCTTAAATAATAATATGAACATTAGACGATAAAATTTTGTTTTCGTCAAGTTCAGCGTCTTTTTTTCATCATGCTATGCTCTTTTGTTTACATTTTCGTGGGTGAGTTGTCCCCCTTTCATTCTCACGATGTGTCTTAATCATGTTTTCAAATTGATTTTATTAAAAAACAACTGTGTTTTTCCCATTTTCGGCC